CAGAGACAAGAAGGCAGTTGTTTGAACAGAACAAGGGATACTACATGGTTTCATATCAGGAAAGGTGTGTATCAGGGTGTACTCTTTCACCATATTTATTCAATCTGTATATTAGCAAATAATCAGAGAAGGCAGATTATATGAAGAAGAATTAGGCATTAGGATTAGAAGAAAACTCATTAACAACTTGTGATATGCAGATGCAAATGACACAATCTTGCTTGGTGAAAGTGAAGAAGAATCAAGCACTTACTGAAGAAGATCAAAGACTACAATCTTCAGTATAAACTACACCTCACCTTAAAAAAAGAAAAAATTCTCCCAAGTGGACCAATAAGCAAGATCATGATAAATGGAGAAAAGATTGAAGTTGTCCAGGATTTCATTGTACTTGAATCCTCAATCCATGTGCACAGAAACGGAAGTCAAGAAATCAAAAAAATACTCTTTAAAATGTTTAAGAGCCAAGATGTCACTTTGAAGACTATGGTGTACCTAACCCTGTTGTTGATGTTGTTATGTACAGTCGAGTTGGACCCGACTCATAGTGACCCCTCCTAGGGTTTCCAAGGCAGTATTACTACAGAAGTAGATTGCCCAACCTTCCTTCTGAGGAGTGGCTGGTGGTTTTGAACCTGGTTAGCAGTAAAGTGCCTTAGGCACTATGCTACCAGAGCTCCTGTACCTGACCCTAGGCCTGGTCTTTTCGATAACGACATGTGCATGTGAGAGCTGGACAATGAATAAGGAAGACAGAAAAAGAATCAGTGCATTTGAATTGTGGTGTTGGTAAAAGACTATTGAATGTACTAGGGAGTGCCAGAAGAATGAACAAATCTGCCTTAGAGGAAGTACAGCCAGAATGTTCTTTAGAAGTGAGAATGGCCAGATTTCGTCTCTTATACTTTGGTCGTGCTGTCAGAAGGGACCAGTCACTGGAGAAGGATATCACGTTGGGTAAAGTGGAGGGTCAGTGAAAAAGGGGAAGTTCCAATGAGATTTATTGACCTATTGGCTGTAGAGATGGGCTCAAGCATAGCAACAATTGTGAAAATGGCGCAGGACTGGGCATTGTTTAGTTTTGTACTTTGGGTCATTATGAGTGAGAAACATCTTTGTGGCATCTAAGAACAACAACATATTTCTATCTATCTATCTATCTATCTATCTATCTATCTATCTATCTATTTATAGCTCTGTATATCCATATCTTTATCTAACTATCTATCTTCAGTTTTAAGCTTCACTGGTTTTCCTTCTCTAGCGAACCCAGTCTAAGAAAATCAGTTACATAAGAATCAGCAAGATGAGCATTAGAGACTTTAATGAGGGTCATTTTTTTTAACCACAGTATCTTACATCTTACATCTTTCACTAATGCCACGTGGTTTCTGTGTTTGGGACACTGAAACTCCCCGCAGAAATACATTGATGTCAGTTCAAGAAAATCCCCGTGGTATTGTATGGAAAATGAACTTTGGACTGTAATTATAGTCACTGACCTATTAAAAGTCTCCAAGATTTTCACTCTTTAATCCCAAACATTTTAGAAACCAAGATTGATATTCAGAAATCCTATCAGTCCTAACACCATAAGGAAAATTACAAGCTGTTACAAGCCCTTCTGAGAGAAATCAAGGTGAGAGACATTCTCTATTTTTATTTTGAATGTTGATATCCATAAATAGTTATGTCTCAAAATTCATTATTTTCATTGTTCTTAGATTTCAGCTCATTATTTGTCTTGTCTGTCTAGCTTTTCTTTGAATTGAAGATTGTGGAGAGCTATGATGAGACAAATTACTGTAATTTATCCTAATGTTTTCTGATATTAAAGTAGAATTTCAAAATATACTGGTGTTTAGGTTAGCTAGTACTGCTCTGACAGGAATATACCACAAATGGGATGCTTGAACAAACAGGAGTTTATTCTCTTACAAACTGGAGGCTTTAAGTCCGAGTTCAAAGTGCCAGACTCTAGGGGCTGGGTGACAGCCCCTCAGCTTTGGGGTTCAGCTCGGCCTTTTGTTCCCAGCCCACTGAAGCTAGAGGCTTTTCTCCACTCAGAAAGCTGCTAGCTGTGTGGTTGACAAGTCCAAGGTTGACAAGTAAAAGGGTACAGTTCTGATGTTACCAAATCACACAGCAGGCTATTCATTCATGTCCATTGAAAATCCCAAGGTCGGCAGATCATGGCAGGCTGCTGAACGACACGGCTACATGCAGGGTTCTAGTGTGCCATAAGTCAGAGACCATTCCCAGAGCTGTTTCTTATATATGGGAAACAGACCACATATCCAAAGGCAGCTAGTCAGCTACTCACGGTAGATTACACCACGGAGTAGATTAGTCTCATCATGGTGAATACTACATCCAGCTGCCCAGCCACTCATCCAGGCCCAGCAAAGTTGACACACAAATTTAATCACCA